CAGGTCACTGCACACTGTCACAGCTGAAGATAAAAGCCTTCTGTTTGGCTTTGAAGCTCTGAATTATGTTTGCCACATCCAAGTTAGAAAGAAAAAGTTGCAAGGATCTCACTGGAGTTGTGGGGAAGCAAACTTGCTTGCAACTCAAGTCCAGGAAGATGGAGGAAAGATGCCCCAAAGATACTGAATGATATATGAGGAATCTGAAATATTATATCATTATGTTTCAATTATCTACTCTTTCTTTCTCCAGATTGGTTTGGGATAGAGCTGCTTCTGAAATCCAGAGAGACAGGCAAGATGTTTGTCAGCACAGAGTTCAAGTTCTACAACTGCAGTGCCCACCAGCTGTAAGACACCCTTTCTTCTTCCTTATCTATCAGAACCTGAAGGCTTTAGCAATAATGCTAGATCTGTACTATAAAGGTTTCTCAGCACAGGAAAAGTCTCTGTCTGTGCAGACCTATATCTCTATCTATTCAGAAACAAGCCCCACTGGGTTCTGTGGAGCTTACTCCTAGGTAGGTGAGTATAAGATTGCAGCCTGTGTCAAACATTAGACTTGAAGACCAAGATAAGATGGATAAAGGTGCCCTGACAACAATATTCACCACCATCTACACTAGGCAGAACAATTATTTCTCGAGTGTGTCAGGAAAACTATTTATTTATTTTTAGTTGCACCCATATATTATAAGCACAACTTGATTATCTTGTCACTAATGGAAGTATAGAAATGATTAGATACTAATGACAGGCCAATATAACATTCTCATAGCATGAAGGTGTAAATCATTATAAGCTGCCTCAAGCATTTTTGTGAGGGAGGTGGTTCTGTAAACAGACAAAATAAATAAAACCAATAAATCAAATTTTGTGGTATTCTGCTTGTGCAACTATTGATACGTCTCACGTTAAGCCCTTATATACTAGCTGTTGGTTTTGAAGATCCTGAACCCAAGTCCTGCTTTCCTTAATTACTGTAACCCACAAGCTTGATGTTAACCCATCTCTCCCCAAAAGAGGTGAGCAGTTCATCAGAATGATTGCTCACCAGTGATATTCAAGCAAGCTAGGCTTGTCATTCAGGCATCCAAAGTGATTCCATAAACTTAGCATAACTAAGAGTTGGGAAAGTGGTCAAGCTGGCAGGGAAGCAGGAATTCTATGAAACAATAGCTGTCCTAAACTGGGAGAGAGGTGGGAGTCATGAGGGGGGAAATCCAAACTGAAATTCCAGACTGCTCCAGCAGAAGGCAAAGAGGCCAACAGCAGGTAGAGAAAGAGCCAATGGCAAGCAGAGTTTTGCCCCCATTCTCCTAGGGCACCACTGAGACTAAGGAAAAGGAAGCTGACAGCCAGTGGTTGTAAGTGAGAAGGCAGGCAGGTAAGGGATGGCTGACAACACAGTGAGGTTAGTGAGGCAGAGCCCCATTTGCCCTAATGGAGCTGCTGGCACTGGAAACAGGCATGTTCATGTTTGACAATGGGAATAGCCAACCCTTCATCTTAGAACTGATATGCTAAGTGAAGAAAGCTGCATTTCGATCCTGGAAATGGGAGCTGAAAAGCAGGCGCCACACAGATCCCTGCCAATCTGAGAAAGGGGGAGAGAAATGGGTCAAATAAATGAGTAATTAAATATGCTCATACTGCTTAATATTCCTACCCCACTCAGATTTGCATTTGTATGATTAGAATAAGCTTCCTTAGCTATTAAGGTCATTACAGAGGAATCAAAAGGCAATTACAATTGAGAATATAAGATGGAAGAAGATGGTTAATGTGTGTTTTAGCACAGTAAGGGGTGGGGTGGAGGGAGCTGCCCACACTCTCTAGCTTGGCATTGAAGTATCTTCTGTTTGTGAGGTGGTGAAATTCCTCATAACTCATATTAGCTTTTTAGATTAAATTAGTTTTCTCAGTGGTAACAGAGAGACTAATAGATCATGCTGACATTAAAAATATCTGCCTGTCCATACTGGCCTAAAAGAAACAACCTCTGATTGTCTGTTCCATTGCCATTGCTTGCTATGGGAAAACAGAACCAAAGGATTCAGTGCCATGAAATGGGGAAATTAGCACGAGGAATTGAACTCTTACACCACACAGATGCTGTTGGCCTCTGAAAATATAAACTTCTCCCTTTTCTCCCACGTTGTTTATTATTAGAAATAGAAGAAATGGCTCTTCTGTGTGCTAGAAGCAGAAATGCTCATGATTCAAATGCTGTTTAGAAGTTTGTCCCTTTGGGAGCAGCTGCTCTCAAAATATCCCAAGGCAAAAATTGGATAAAAACACCATCTCAGTGACAGGCAAAGAAAAATTGCATGCATTGCAGAGGCTAACCAAAGCCCTGGGCAGATTCTGAAGCAATCATAGCTGTCTTTGCTTGAGCTCTAGCTGACCCACTAGATGGCATTAAACTATTGGTCGTGCTGTCACATACCAGTTATAGACAGAAACTTTCCAGGTAAGTGGCTTGCCAGCACAATGCCCATCTGGAGCTACATGAACCTGTAACTCTCAAGACAGAAGGCAAATTTATACCAATCTGCCACCAGCAGAGACCTGGGACAGAATTATTTTTTCCCCCTGTGTGAATACTTAATTGTATTCCAAACCATTTGGCCACATTGTAAACTTTCAGCTCTGATACTACAACCGTAGAGAAAAACCCTCAGTACACAAACAGTGAAATTGACCACTCTTAATTTTGAGTTATGCAAACCTAAGCTCTGCAAAGTTAAGGGAAGGGAAGATAGTCATTGTGGGCCAAAAATAATTTGACTCAAATTATTTTGGCATGGTTTTCCTTCTTCTACGTGCAGCAGTAGCTTTCACATGAAGGCTAGCCTTGAAATTGCAATTTACCTTACATGGATCAGTCTTGGATCAGAGGTTGAACACTCTAGGATGCCTTAGGCAAGTCGCTATTCCCTCTGACTCAGTCCTGCACTGCAGTATGGAGCTAATAATACTAACCTACCTTACTGGGTTGTTGTAATGTTTACTGAGATTATGTATGTGAAGCACTTTGAACACTTAGAAAGTGCAATATAAATGCTAAGTACAGTGGTACCTTGGTTTACGAACTTAATCCGTTACGGAAGTCCATTCTTAAACCGAAACTGTTCTTAAACCGAGGCTTGCTTTCCGTAATGAGGCCTCCCACCGCCGGTGCCCTTCCACTGTTCGGATTCGGTTCTTAGACTGAGGTAAAGTTTGCAAACTGGGACACTGCTTCCGGTTTTGCGGAGTTCGTAAACTGAATCGTTTGTAAACAGGACTGTTCTTAAACTGAGCTACCACTGTATTACTATTGCATCCTATCATTGGTGTAGGCCTGTCAGCATAGGCCTGCAGTGCAGAAACATTAATTTTTCTTAATTCTTAAGTTTTATTTAGATAATTTCACATTATTCTGCAATCCCACTGCCCATCTGTTGATTTTAAATTTTGACACTTGCTAGAAGCAAGGAAGAAAGACATTTGGCAGTCAAGGCTGACATTAAAAATGAAAAAGGCACAAAACTGGCAATATCATGGACACAAGAATGTAAGAAATATTCACCTAGTAAATCATATTTAAGGGTTAATTATGTTAACCAAATGTGTAAACGTTTAATGAGCTTTCTGTCATCCATAAATTTTGTTGATATGTCAATAGTATCATTAACTGGCTCTTCGGTAATAATTATACATTTGTCAATAATAAACACACTTGCCCAGACTGAAACCTAGAGGTCCTTTATTCCTTTCTTGGCAGGTGCCTGTCTTGTGTGAACAGTGCTTTTCGTTGCCACTGGTGTAAATATCGAAACCTCTGCACTCATGATCCCACAACGTGTTCGTTTCAAGAGGGGAGGATCAATGTCTCTGAGGTATGAATACTGGATTTAAAGACTAGGCAGCACCTTTGAGTGCAGTTCTTAGATGTTATCTTCATGATGGTGCCTGACTCTTTCCCCCCTCCTTCCATCCCCACCCCTGAAATAAAGTCTCAAGATTTCCCAAGGTGAAAAGTAAAGGTGAGTAGTTTGGTTGATGAGCTCATTTCAGCACCAGGAGTAGGCGGGCTAAAAGTAAATGGAAGGTGCGGGACTACTCAGGTGCATAGCATGACTCAAGTCAAAGATGGATGTATATTTATAAGCAGAAGGCTTGTGAAAAATTCTCTCTATTGGAAGCATGGTAAATAGCACCTATTTGATTGATGCAAAAGATAATGATCCCTATCATCTTCTATTCTAGCAAAAATTGGGTTCTGTAACTTTAGGCGGCAATGTACCATCTGCTTATTCAAGCATAAATCTCAGAGAAATAAATGGGGTTTATCCATTCATAGCTGGCAGGATTCCACCACTTTACATGAATTGTCACAACCATGCAGTGCATATATGTTTACAATGTGTACTTCTGACATGATAGCTCAGTCACAGAACTGGCAATAACAGGCTTTACAGAGTAATTGGTGCAGAGTAGTTTAGAGAGAAGGTAAAACTGTTGTATGCTTCATCTTCTGTGAGCGATGGAGAGAAATTTTAGATACATTGTTTCTTATCAATGTTTTTACTTGAATTGTGATTGATGTTAACCCAAATGTACTAACCTATCTGTAAATATAAACGTGCTTGTGAATACAGTTGTACCTTGGAAGTCGAGCAGAATCCGTTCCGGAAGTCCATTTGACTTCCAAAACATTTGGAAACCAAAGCGCGGCTTCTGATTTGCTTCAGAAAGCTCCTGCAGCCAATTGGAAGCCACAGAAGCCCCATCAGATGTTAGGGTTCCAAAGAACGTTCACACTCACATCTGGGTTTGCGGCGTTTGGGAGCCAAAATGTCTTGAGTACCAAGGCATTCGGGACCCATGGTACGACTGTAGTGGTGTGGATTCATGTTATGGATATCTGCTGTTTGTCTCTAGGCTGAAACTATGTAATCGTAAACATGAACACCCTGAAGCACAGGTTTGAAGGTCTGCTCCCACATTTATAGGGAAGGGCCATAGCTGAGTGGCTGAGCCTCTGCTTTGCATGCAGAAGGTCCCTGGTTCCATCTCTGGCATTTCCAGGTAGGACTGGGTCCTTGAAGAGCCCCTGCTAGTCAATATCAATGGCCTGACCCCATATAAGGCAGCATCCTTTGCCCCTAAGAAGGGGCTGAGTAAAGGGCAAGAGAAAAAGTGCAGCCAGGTGGCTATCCTTGCTGCAGGGAATAGCATACCCAGGCACACCAGCTCAACCAAACATGTCCTCCTCTAAGAGGAAGCTCCCCTCTCATCTGTTTGCTAGCAATATGGTGGGAACACACTCTATCTATCATCTGTCTATCTGTACCAGCTTTTTGCCTAACAGGCTTCCGAGGCTGCTGAGAAAGAGTGAAAATTAAAGCATGATAAATATAAAATTCTTTTTAAAGGCAGTTATGACTTATGATTGCTAACAGTTTTAAGAGCTACCATGCTTAACCTTTGGGTCTCTGTGCAGCTGCCCCACATGGCAGGCTACTGAACTTCACATTGCAGCATCTGCCTAAGGTAGTTTAGTATACTCTGCCCCAAGACTGATCCCTCCAAAGCTGACTAGTGGAACCTCCTGGACAGGAAGCACCTGAGGCACCTTCTTATTCCCATTAGTTTTTCCCAAGCAACAAGAGCTTCCTGAGCATTTGATTGTTCCTTTATTATTTAGTTGCTCTTCAGTCCTGACTTCTGGCTTACTTCTGGTTCTACTTCCTAGTTTATCCCTTAATCCCGACATACTGAGAGGGTCTAAGCATTAGCGTTGGGTTTTGCTAGAGATCTGAGGCCCTATCAGCTGCCAAAGGATGTCAGGTCCTGATGCTGGACCTGAGATTCACAGGTTGTTCTATTTATTATGGAAAGTGTCTCATTGAAATTTGGCAGCTGCATGACCTTTTGAGTTGTTGGTCATTCTCTGGCCGAAAGCAGTTGAACCTGAAAGGGCCCGTTTTGTAGGTCTTGTTATTAGAGTAATGATGTTCAGGTCTTGTTATGGATGGAGATTATTTGAGGGCTGTGCTGAAGAAGTGCTATACCCTTCTAGCTGAGAAGAGTGAGTATTTGAGGGAGGAATGAGGGACAGGATACTATCCATGAGATCAAGGGAACACTTTCATTTTCCTTCTGACATTAAGAACATTAAGCCATCAGCATTTTTAAAACATTGGAGGTGGAGAGCGTCTACATTTTGGTTGAAAACCTCACATATATTTGACATTGCAAACAGGAATAAGTGGTTGTCATTCAGCCTCATATAGAGCCTGACCAGCAAGGAAATGAGATTGAAGAGGGAAAAAATGTTCAGCAATAAAAGGGACCATCAAGTTTCCTTTCTTCTTATCAAGTAATGATGCTCCATGCTGCATCAACAAAAAAAGCATCAAGCTGAAACAACATGTGTGCCTTCCAGGTTAGAGAAGATGCCAAGAAATAGGTAACATAAAACTAGACATAATATATGTATATACATGAGCAGGGCTTGGCAACGGACAGGCATACATGATTGGAAGCCGCCACTGCCTCGCTTCTGCCTTTAACCAAAAGTGACACCAGGTGGCTTATACTGTTTGAACTTTTAAGTGTTTCATCAGAAGTGAGAGAAGACACTCGAGGGGTTCTCAACTCTGGAGACAAAGCAAAAGCTTTAAATAGCTTGATACAAAGGAAGAAGCATCTTTCCAAACTGGCAAGAGGGAGCTGTTATCTTTTATTTTTCCTGTGCTCTAGTGAGGATGGATTTTCCTTCCTATCTGGTGAGGTTGCCTGCATTCCCTTTGCTCAACTTTGGAATTCGGTTTCTGCACTTTGAAGGCAGTGATGTCAAAGTTCCCCTCTTTTGTAGGTTTCTCTTACTACCCCCAGTGGGAGGGAGGGAGAGAAACAGGATTTGTCTAGACCAGGAAAAGGAAGCGAATGAGTGGCACAGCTGGAAATCCAAATCCAGAGGGAATTCTGGCTCTGTGTCTTTTCTAATTGCTATTGCAAAACCTCTTCATGGTTTTGAGCAAGACATTCCAAAGGGCCATTTTCATATTGTGCTAAAGTATCCTAAAAGTCTGTCAGTGTGGAAAGTCCTGAGGGCTGCAGAAGCATGCTAATTTTTGTTACCTATTAAAAATATATTTCTAGGACCTAGTTTGGGGAAACCAAGGTGCTTGGAAATTCTGCCTGTCACTTCCTGCCTGTCCTTTATAGCTGGCAGAACTTCTGTTAAGCACTCTTTCATTAGCTTATGTTGAGCAAACTATGCTGTTATGCTGTTCCTCTTTGCTCAGCATAGCCATGATGACACAAATGAAACACTGTTCCTCTTTGCTCCACATGCTTATGTGCTTACACTGACCCAACTAGCTCAGCAGTCTAATTTGCTTAGTCTCTCTGAAGAAAATAAAATGCTGTTTGTCAGAACAAAAGTGTAATCCAGTTATTCTGTTGCAAAAGCCACTTTGTAGATAGTAATATGGAGGGGGGGGTCTCTGTAAGGTTTCTATTTTCAGCACCATCCTGTTAGCAAAGCTGTTCTTACATCTGCCTTAATATATTAGCAGAATATTCACACACAAATAGACGTTGTTAACAGAAGATGCATTGCCCTTTGGAAGCAAAGCAAAAATGATAATATTTCAATCAAACTACTTTCTGTCAAAGAAAGAAGTATATGCACAGTCTCCCACATGGATACTTGCCGACTGCAGCTCAGTATCAGGATGTAAGTGCAGCATCCTGCCTCCACAACCATTTTAATGCATTAGTTAACACATCTGTTCTGAAAGGTTAAAATCATACCCTTTGTCAGATGTTAACCTATGGTAAGAACCATGACATGTTGCTAGCAATTGCTTGTTTGTGCCAGTGTGAAGGCAACCTGAAGCCTTTAAAGTAAGGTTATACTTTGCAAAATGACTGAAAAAGTGGCACTTTCATGTTTCTCCACTTTGTTTCCTGTTAATGCTCGGAGGCAGAACTATAGTTTACAATCACTCAAGTAAATTTGCACTGCTTGGCTTCTTTTACTGTTTGCACTTTGGCAGAATTAATCTTTAGCACAGTTAAACAACAGTGCACTTATGCCTGTGCAAACCAACCCGCCAGGGCATCAAGGAAGTGAAATACATAATTTGTCTGAGGGATTCACTGACAACAGTATAATTCATCTTGTGTGAATCAGTTGTCACAATATTTGTTGACAGAAACATTTCTAGCCTACCTTTCCATCAAGCATCCGCAAGGCAGCTTACAATATAAAGTTGAAGAATTTAAGAACAAATGGCAATATAAAATAGCCACAAGAGAAAATTTAACACCCCCTATTTTCTTCTCAGTGTTGCCGCACCCTCACTTTACTCAAATTTCTGCCATTGTTTGAAGCAGCCAGTTTTTTTCCCTTTTAAGTGTCCCTCTCTATTTGCTGTACTCAAATCTCCCTCTTCCATTCCAGCTACTTCATGTAAAGATAAAGGGTGCAGAGACATCAAAAATTCCATAGTATTTTACTCAAACCTCTGACTTTGTTTAAATCCACCATTTCCCTCTCAGCTCCCTCTTTTACTGACTTTTTAACTTCTGCCATTGTTTTAAACCACTTCCCCCTCTCATTGTCCATCCCTTTTTGCTCCTAAGCCATGACCACTGCTGTTGTGCAAGCTGCCTTGTCTTTTGCCTTCTCTCCAACCCTGATTTCACGCAAATCCAGGATTGTGTTGAGGCACTCCAAAACCTCCAATGGCGGCTTGTGTGATGACATTAACATTTTTATTATATAGAGACATTAGGATAAATATTAATGCATAATTGAACTAACTAAACAGCTCCCTACAAAAGCCTTGGTGAAAATATATTTTTAGGCAGCACCCCAAAATAAGCAATGTCAGTAGCAGCTATATCTTGGGGAAGAAATTTCCCAGCCAATGTACCACCACAGAAAAAGTTCTATCTTATGTGGTGGAACTATAAGGTAAGGTAAAGTAAAGGACCCCTGGACTGTTAAGTCCAGTCAAAGGCAACAATGGGGTGCAATGTTCGTCTCACTTTTCAGACCGAGGGAACTGGCGTTTGTCCACAGACAGCTTTCCAAGTCATGTAGCCAGCATGACTAAACTGCTACTGGTGCATGGAGGACCATGATGAGTGCCAGAGTGCACAGAAATGTTGTTTACCTTCCCGTTGCAACGGTACCTATTTATCTACTTGCACTGGTGTGCTTTCAAACTGCTAGGTTGGCAGAAGCTGAGACAGAGCAACGGGAGCTTACCCTGTCACATAAATTCAAACTGCAAACCTTCCAACTGACAAACCCAAGAGGCTCAGTGGTTGAGGTTACAGCACCACCCGTGTCCCTGATGGAACTATAAGACATCAGGGTGATATAAGGAAAGGCATTCCTTCAAATAATGGATCCAAGTCTTTTATGACCCAACATAGGATAGCAATGATATCATGCATGTCTTAATGTTTCATCCAATTTCTGGGTTGTTATTTAATTCCTGCACATAGGCAGCAACCCAATTATATTTTTTTCCTATGAATGTCTTCTGTTCAGGCGATTCTCCCACAGCTCAAAAGAAACACCAGAGAAATAAAAATAAAAATGTAGGGAAGGTGGACTACTGTGAATATACAAACACTGGCTTGGAAAGTGGAAATAGAAGCAGTGTATTCTCACCATGAATTCAAAGTTAACATGAAGCTCAGCATCAAGAGAAGACGCAGTTTGAGATTGGAGTGTGGCCTAGAGACTTGCCATCTCTGTTGATAAATTGAACAGCAGTGAACCCAGCTTGAATCTAAGATCCCCACATTGTTTTCAGTGATAGCACTTAGGGAGGGAAATCATTTTATTGTAACAGAGTCATTGGAATCAAGGAAACCCTTGATGCTAACAGATCTACATTTAAGCGGAGAGGAGACATGCCATTTAATGGAGACTGGAAGAAATGAACATGGGCCACTGTCATAGCAATCCATAGGTGGTCAAACAAGACTTCTAGGGTGTAGTTTCCATTTGCTTTTCTTCAGGGATTGAAAAAAATGCACTACAACATTAAATACT